TTTACAATGAACATGTTTAGTTTAATTTGGGCACAGCTTTTTCTCGCAAATTTACTTTAAATTGCAGGTAATTTAGAGTAATTAGGATCTGTTAATTTTAAGTTACGGTAGTGTTTTAAGTCCTTGGAGTTGTCGAAGGCAGATTTCGTAACCCATTCTGCAGGAAGGTATCCCTCCCTCTTGCCAATCGTCTGAAGGCGTAATTTCAATTTTAATCCAACGTTCTTCCTGCCATTTGTGAAGAGGTTGACCGTGAGGAAGGAGAGGGTCGTTGGGAAAGTCCTCCTTTCTTACTTTCAGCAAAGTAAGTGGCACGCCCGCAACCAGATTTCACACGTGCGAGGCCACTAGAGGATTTTTGAGGAAACAACTATGTAATAAGTAATTTTGGTCTTTTTTATAGCTTCAGTGCTTATGAATTTTATATTTCAAGTCTTATTTATTGCTAATACTTTCTTCTGCAGATTTGCATGGGAATAGGAAAATGTACTTCTCTTATTTTTATTTGAAGTTTTGTTTCTATTATCAACCATGATCTTATCATCTAGTGAATCTGCTTTTGTTTCAGGTCCACGAGAGACAAGACACTGGGGAAGTTGATGCCCTCACAAAAGGTGCTGGGTTCTTAAAATAAATATTCAATTGTTGGAAATTGACGGAATTGAAAATTCTTATTAAACATTTCCTTTATCCTTATTGCTCTTTCAGGGGACAACAATTATGGAGATGACAGGCTTTTGTATGCTCAAGGGCAGCTCTGGCTTCAACGGCATCATATCATGGGCAGAGCAGTTGGGTAAAACCTCTAGCATTCACTTCTTTTGATTTAAAGTTGTCCTAGTAAACAATAATATTTTTCTTTTGTTGTCGGCTATGCATTTCCATGTTGGAAAATCATAATATTCCTGGAGAATTAACTTGCTCACATATTTGCAAACAGTTGCATATCAAGCATGTAACATTAGTGTGGGCACATATTTTTTCTTTTAAAACTTGACCATTAGAATAAGGAGAGCACTTTTCATTTTACTTTCTTTTTTCCTGTGTGAGGATGTTATTTTTATTGAGAACCCTAAACCCTAAACTTGATATCTTGCTGTTGAGATTTAGTGGAAATCAAAGTAAGCCCCGGAAATATTGAACCCCAAACCTCAGTGTGTGGTTGAGGGACTGGGGATTGCATCCTTTCTCTCGACTTGGTTATTACAAATACCATTCCTCCTTAAAGGTTATGGGAGCCTGTTTTACACCTGGGTTGATACAAAGGACCTAAACCCTGCCACAGAATTCAGGACTGAAAATTGATTTCAATTTGAACTTTTTTTTTCTTGCATGCATTTCATCTAAATAAATCTCTTTTTGATCTCTTTCTTAGAACAGAAAAATTCCTCATGTTGCTTACTTCTGTGATTTGCAGGTTCTTACCCTATGTTGGTTGGGTGACAATAATCATGACCGAAAAGCCCATCATCAAGGTTTGTTTACTTTAAAATATTTTGCTCTTATCCGAAAATCCAGAATGTAGTACAAATAGAATTTCGATGCTTTGCACTTTCACAACTACTGTCATGGAAGGTTTAACATTGTAGTTTGCCTTTGTGATTTCCTCATTTTGACTT